AGAACCAGCTGTTGACGTATTATCGAAGCCAACTGCAGGATAAGGTAATACAGAGGCAATTCTTACTATAGCAGGTCACACATAGGTACTCAATGAGCAACTGGGTGAGTTTTCATTTGTAATTTAGGTACTGGAGAGAATAACTCCCCAGAAAATTTTAATAGTTTAAATAATTATTACAAAACCTAATAAAGTAAAGGCAAGACTGCCGAATTATAAAAAAAAAAAAAAAAAAAAAAAAAAAAAAAAACTACATCTAAATAACAAGTGCCGTTCTTATAGTAAGTAATAAGCTCTAAACCTACTATAGTACTATAACATTATAATAATATTGTATTTACTTAAATAATTATATACTATAGTAAATTTTTAGGTTTTAAGCATACTGTAAATTAATTATTTGATTAATTAAAAATATCTGTTTAGTCCCTGAAATTTAGAGAAAATTATTCTGAGCAGCCCGGACATCATGCCTAATAGTTTCATGTAGAGTTTGGAGCCGGTTTTTTATTTTTCATATGTTAAACCCGGTTTTAATCGGTTTTGTGAAATAAAATAGGTTCCAAACTCTAGTTCCATATATCTTGGAACACGCCCCGTTATATCAGTTCTATTAATAATCGAGAATTTTAATAGTAAGTTCACTAATGAGAGAATTTTACATAGATCGGCTTTAAGTTTAACTCACTATATTGAGATTTTAATTATAGTAATCTTTACTATATCGAGGGTTCACTATATCGAAAGTGACTTGTATTTGGAAATATAGATTCAATTATCAATCACGTTTAATTGATTGGCTATTTAATAGTTGATTGATGATCCATCTTGACCAATAAAAAAACAGATTTCCGTTACGCTTAATTTCCTAATTTAATATGTTTATACAAATTTTCATTCATGTGATTATAGCGAGAGGCGACTGTATTATGTACTTTTTTGTCTCTACAAAATTTATCGCTATTCTTCGAGTTTACGGAGTAACTTAATGATTTAGTTATTAGTTTAAGAATAAGAATGTGGTTAAATTTCGTGAAGTTATTAGCAATTCGGAATTAAACTGAGATAGAATAGATGAAATGAGATATGAGCTATGACATATAGTGCACCAATCTCGGGTTCTCAACAACTTGTCCAAATTAGGAGTATTGTATGACTAATCTTTTTTTTTTTTATGACAGTCAAATAAAATGACTAAATAATAAATATGCATCAGCTATTAGTGAATGATGTCATTTTGAGATTATTTTCAATGTTGTTCATTTTTGTACCACGTTGTTTGTGATAAAAGGGAGTGAAAAATTCTCTTATAAACCCAACCTTGCTTTATGCCTTTCAGTCTGAAGGCACTTGTGGAAAGATCTTGTCATCATTAACAAGCAAGTATCTTTAATAAAAAGAATTTCTGGACACGTTATTTTTTTTTTTTTTATACGCATTAAAATAGCATTCTTCTGAAATGGAAACGTGTTTTGAAAAAAAAAAGCGCGTCATGAGCAATTTTTTTTTTATCTTAAACTAGCTTTCGAATTAGTCTGACATAATTTATTAAATTTCAGTCATTTCTCGAGCTTCTTTGTAAATAGCAATGGATCAATCACCTCAAACTCAAACTTCAGCCGTTCGTAAGGCTCGTACGAGAACATCAGTCGAAAAACCAATAATTTATAATGAAGCGAACTCTGCTAATAAAGAAGTTAATGACGAACTAGAAGGTTCTACTCAAGGCGCAATCGATAATGAAGAAGGGATGACTACTAGGCAGCCAAAAATAAATGGAGTCTCGGTCAAGAAGAAGCGTAATAATTCAGGTGTGTGTATACCATGGGATTTTGAAATTCAAGTTTGTTTGCGATTGATTTTCAGATAAGGGCGTTACTATAGATGAGATAGATCAAAAGGTTGGTCAAAATTCCTTGACCATCAAAGATGGAAAAATTCCCATGGATTCGGCAAAACAAACTGCCGAGACAGAATCAATTCTCAATGTGGCCGAAAACGATGACTTTCGTGGCAATTCAGCAATTCCTAACGATTCTATTGAAAACAAAGTTCACTGTAAGGCGGCGAACACCATGAAACAAGCAGAAGCTCTATCTATACAAAAACAACCGAACATTTCTACGTCAGATCAAATCAAGCGCGATACGATCGCGTCTATCTCGAATGCTGAACAAGTTGAAGATTTGCCAGTAAAAGAGCCAACTGCCGTTGAACAAGACGTCGTAGCTGTATCTCGTAATTCGGAACAACCAGAATCGATTATCAATAACGAGCAGGATGAAATTCTATTTCAATCTGGATCTCAGGGTCAACATAAACGTGGTCTACCGGCGGGTTGCCTTTTTGTCGCAAGGTGTGTATTTTAACCGTATGTCTAAATTCAAAATTAGAAAAACACCTATCTTAAAATTTAATTATCAATACATAGTTTACCAACAAACAAAAAGGAAATTGAGCTTCAACAAGCTGTTGCAGACCATTTCCGTAAATGGGGTACTCTTCTTAATGTTAAGGTTTTGTTCGACTGGTTAAATCGGCCTTATTCTTTCGTTCAGTTTGAGGTATTAGATTTAATTGGGTTATTTTGATTTCTTTTTGATTTATCTGATTTATTGTTTAACATATGATTTATACACGACGCGCTTTAAATTGATTATTTACGCGTTTAATACTTAGAGCATTGAAGATGCTCAACGAGCTCTAACTGAAGCACATAATTCAATCGTCGATGGACGTCATATTCGCGTTGAAAAAGCAAAAGTCAATCGGACATTACTTATTGGTCGCTTTAGTCGCGATATGAAAGAAGATGTAAGCTGAATTTATTATTCATTACTATCAATTATTCAATGCTAACTCACTTTCTTAATTAGGATATTACAAAACTTCTTGAGCCTTATGGAGCTACTGAGGACATTCATATTTTAAAAGATTATCGAACAGGCCAAAGTCGTGGATGTGCGTTCGTGAAGTTCTGTTATCGTGAAGATGCTATCAGTGCATATATGGTATATATATATTTATTTATTTATATTTGTTATTTATTCATTAATATAAATTAACTGTTTGAAATTACGTGTTTTTTTTTTCATATTTGTTAAAAAGAATTTGCGCCGGACCTCATCATACGTTATTGAATGGGCAGCAAATCTTGAGAAAGCAACACCTGGTCCCGGTGATATAGATAAAGGAACTATATTGTTTTTCAAAAATCAACCTTGCACCTTTTTCTGTTCTCTGAACTATGTTTGAGATATCTCCAAGTTTTTACGTTTAATCATATACATTTCACTTGTCTTGTCAGTTTCTAAGAACTGCTGAAATTCATTTTTCTGACACTCTATTGTTTCTCTATATTTTTCAACTTCTATATATATATTTTCTTTTTCTTTGATTTTTTCTATATAAATAGGTTCGTTTGTATCCTCTCTCCAACAAACCCATTCTCTTACTCTTTTGTTATTGCTTACTTCTTTTATCTCGAAGTTCAGAGTATTACTATTATTCATTTCACCTTTGTATCTGTTTTTGACTTTTCTTGACCTGGGTCTTATATGATCTCTTTCTCTAATTTGGCGAACCAGCCTGGTTTTTTTCCTTTTAGACTCACACCATGTGCTAATCTAAATTGATCCCATGTATGCATTGTTGTACTGTCTTTTGCAATAAGCTATAATACTACTATTAAGCCCAGGCTACTTGCTTTTGTCTCCAAATAAGCCATATTCAGGCATTCGAGAACACATGCAATCTCTTCGTCATTCGCTATTTGATTAATATCCACATTCTAGCTTCTTGTAACCTCATTTTCTTCTATAACGAAACCTAAAGTGTGTGCTTAATGCAGAATGTTTATTCCCAGATTACAACTTTTCATTTCTTCTTCTTTTTTTTTTAGTATGGTTTGATTTGTTAAGATGCACTTCGTTGAACCTGCTCTTAGCTGACCTTGCTTGAGCCTCCTTGTTGTCGTTTCTTCTAGAAGACCTGGTGAATTTAGTCTAACTAGCAATTCTGATATATGATGCTCCATATGTCTATTCCAAAGACTTTTGAGGGCTGTTGTCTCTGGATGTTTTGTTATTATATTTGCTGTTGTGGAAGGCATCAACATTTTCCATTTGATCAAACGAATTATTGGCTGATGTATTCTCTTATATTGTGCCTTGGTTAAGCATGATACCATTAGTCTATACTCCAAAGTGGGTATTAGAATTGCATTATTCACATATATAATTTGACTGAGAGACATTTGTTTGTGCTTTAGTAGGCCTGAGATCTTGTCTACTATGCTTTTAGCTTTTAAAATATCTGATCTCTTCTAATTTTTGATTGAAATCCAAACCCCTAAAAATCTTGTAGTTTCTTTGGGATTTTTCGCTATAATTTTGGACCTTGGATTTCCTATCCAGATTGAAAGATCTTTTAAATAATTTCTTTTACTCAATTTTAGCACTACGAGTTCAGTTTTGTTGGAATTTATTTTAATGTCATTTAGCTTGTAAAATTCTTGTACGATGTTAATTATACTTTGCTTATTTTCTTAACTATCTGTTAACCAAGTTGTGTCATCTGCGTATGCCAATACACCAACTCTAATATTATTGTTACCTGATTTCATCAAAGGTTTTATGCTTTGCATTTCATAACCAAGTTTGGCTCTTTGTATTCTACATAGCAAAGGATCATAAAAAATTCTCCACACTAAGGGGGAAAGTACCTCTCCTTGATCTATCCCATTCCCTGCTTTTATGAAATTCATATTACCAAACTCTGTCATAATGCTAAGCTGCCTATTCTCATATAACTCTAAAATTATCTCAGTTATTTTTGCTAGTATTTTAATTCTTTCTAAAGCTTTCTTTAATAAGACCATATTAACTGAATCAAAAGCTTTTTTCATATTTTGAAAAGTAACCCAAAGCTCTCTTTTCTTTTCTATAGCTTCTTCTATTATATTGTTCATTACATGTATAGGAGTTG